ATTTGGTTCATTTGGTTCAGTTTGGGGTGGCTCTCTATCACAAGCGTGTGGATCTCTCTGATGGAGTCCTAGCTGTATGCACTAGAGAGGAAGTTGTAAAGAAAAGAATAAGAGTGATGTTAGAATTATGTGACAGTCCCAAACAATATGAGTATATTGGTAGATTATCTGACAAAATTCTAACATGAGGAGAGAAAAGGAAAGAGGCAGGCCTGCCGGCGACGAGCTATCTAATGTGTGCGAAGGGTTTAAGCGAGGCTCAGTGACTGTCCATGCTCAGTGAATGTCTATGCTCCGTGACACTATATATCAATTCATTGTGTGTTCATTTTATCTTTGCGCCTAGTAAAGTCCTCTATCCCTTTAGATGAGTCCCTGGTGCCCTGGCTTCATCTTCTCTTCTCCCACAACCTTTTTTTGCCTGCCTGCTGCTCAGGGTCACTGAAAGTGGTGCTGAAAGTGGTGCTGAAAGTGGTGCTGCTGAACATTGATGCACTTGATTCTCTATTCCCACTTTTTCACCCCACCACCATTCCCTGATCCCTTTAAATGAATTACTGGACAACAGGTGCTTTTAGTGTGACGGCTCAATGACCAGGCAAACAGTGCCAACATGCCAAAAGATGCCATACAAGCAATATGGACAAACAAGGGCTCAAGCCGCATCACACAAAGGTTTATAGATACTGTACTCGCCAGATAGATTTCCTCTCCTTTTTTCCTCCCCAGATTCGATATTCTCGTTGATTTCGTTATTATCTTCTATTCCGAGCCCGTGACAATACCAGAAACGGCAAAAACTAGCCGGAACAGGAAATTCACAGGTCCTGGTTTTACAGTCACAATGGATAGAGGGAAGATGGACACTTGAGAGAAAAGCAATTTCATTTCGTTAGAAGTTTGATAAAGAGAAAGATCTCTGTGATCTTGGTTTTGGTGCTGCGCGCGGGGCTGTGGGTGTTGTGTCGTCGATACCAGGTTCGCTCCCAGGTGCCCCAAGTGTGGAAAGCCGATGGTTTCCGTTCCCGCACACTGAAGGGATATGTTAGTGTGCGGTGGTGGTCTTCCTGTTGTCTCTCGTGGCGATTATCTCCTAGGTTAGGCGCAAAAATAGATTATGAGACTTCTCCTCTCTACTCTACTCCTTCCTCTCCTGTTTCCTCTACTCTTTGAGTACTTGAAGTAAGACGATCATGTATCGGTAGTATGCCCGATCGAAAATATACAGCTGAAATTCATCTACCAACCCCCAATTCGTACCCATACATCCACGATCTTCGAAGCATCCCGGTCCTCACTCGAGTCCACGACCAAATACCACCCGTACATTGCCCCAGTCACACATGCATGGTTTGGATAGACCCGCACAGACTGCCCGATTTCCAACGGTATCTCGCCACTTCCGCCATCTTCCCATGCGAGAATCGCATGCTCCTGACTGATTCGTTCGACGATCAACCTCGAGTTTCCCGGCTCCCGTCTCCAGTCGCTAACAACTCCCCATCCCGGGTACGCTTTGCATGGTTCTCGTCCTAGAGCCAAGGATCCCGCTGCGACAAGGGCTTCTGGTTTGTATCGCTCTCCATCGTTGTATAGACTGCATACTTCAGCTAAAACGGAAATTGCGACTTCCTCTTCCAGTTTGCCGGCAGAATGTCTAGCATTAGTGCTAAACTGTTGCATGTCGAGAACTGGATAAACACCGGCGTGGAGTTCGACTTTGACAGGAATACTAGACTCGGATGGATTGTGCAGCAGATTCTTCAACTTCTCTGCCGCTGAGCTAGACGGACTTCCCAAGAGGTTGTTCGAAGAAACCACCTGCGGTGTAGCTCCGACACTGATCACCAGCTCTCTACCCGACAAAAGATGGGAGTTGTGTTTGATAGCCTCTCTGCAGCTAACGATTTCCGCGGTTAAATATTCCATCGCTTCGTCTGGTGTGCTCCCTCCGTAGCTAAGACTATTATGGGAGTAGACCCCGAGAATAACAGCATAGCCCTCTTTTTCTGCTTCCGCTAGCTTCTCCAGTAATCCGTTCTTGTTCAACATCGCCGGAGGCAATCCCGCTCGGTGGTAGCCGCAGTCAACCTTAACAAACACATGGGCCGAAAAGCCTGCTTCCAACTGGAAATCCTTGAGATATTCAATCTGACCCGGATGGTCTATCATAACCGAAACGCTTCCGGGACCGAGTTCGCGGGCAATCTTTGCCAACCAAGTCGTCTGCGATGGTACCAGAGGAATTCCGTAGAGAATGTTGAATCGACGACTCTGTATCTTGAAATCCTTGAGTAACAGAGCAAGCCATTCAATCTCCAGTACTGTAGACGCGACAAAATTGGCGTCCTCGTTGCCGTGGCCGACTTGTAACTGGGCGATTTGTGTTGTCTGTAGAAACAAAATTAGTATGAACTGTACTAATCCATTCAAATCAGGAGATAGTACTTTATGAGTCTTCACATGTGCCCGAAAACCGACATCGAGCGCCTTGACAGTCTGTAACATTCGCTCGCAGTGCTTCTTGATAATCGCCACGTCGAGCACGACGGCCGGTTTCGGTACATCTCCGATATCTTTTCCGACATAATACTGCTTCAGCACTTCCTCATGGGGTATCGGGCGAAAAGGATAGAAATTTGAACGCATATTTGTGCTGTATGAAGTATGGAAGAGAGTTGTATGGGGTGGTGTTTATATCGTTTCCCCGCGAGGGGTCTATCTTATCGGTATGTGGGGTCGGGAGATCTTTCAGCCTATGCACTATGTACTCAGATTCAATCTGTCGTGCGGGTTACCAGCGCCTTGCTAATGCGTATGTGTCTTTAGCTGTTATATGCAGAGATGTGATATATCGACAAAGTCTAAAATCCACAACATACCATGTCATTATCAATGTCTACACGCGATCGATTCACCTGATCGTGTCCGGGATAATAACGGCCCGTGTCTGTCTGGGCTTAGGGCCGGGTGCCGGCTCTGTACCACAACACTCTTGTCACTGCCTCGAGGTCCATGTAGTTAGCTGGACAGGTAGATACGCAGGGAACTCAAAAAATCACTCGAGAATAAACGCGAGTTGCTTCCTGATGGATGCCAACTGGGTGACCGAGAGCTCATCGAGTAACTCATCGACATCCTCGCCAGGAACATCACCCATGATGATGAAGTAGATTCTACCACCACGGTATGGCATTCCACATCCCTGAGTCTGCCTGGTATGAGCATGGTACTTGGGCCCATGTCCGAGACTTCCAACAATATCCACAGTGTCCACCCCGTGCAACCAATGCAACTTGGCCATCTCCTTGATCTCTTCGGGGTTTTCGAAATCGAATTCATCTGGGTTAAGCTCGTATTGGATCGTCAGCATGAGACGCTCACCAGTGTTGGTATCATGGGCACGAGTGAGAATGTGGCGAAGGCCCAGCCGGTCATCCAAGACCTCGCTTAGTTGCTCATCAATCTTGACCCGCCTTTGCGTGATCAAGAGAGATTTTCCAGTCCAGTCATAATTCCAGATCGCGGACATGTTAAATTCGCTTTGTATACCTGAATAATAGAAGAAGCGGTAACAAAGATGATGGAGGGTTCCTTGTTCAAGGCAGCTATCAGACGCTGGAGGCTACACCCATTTTCGATACCCCTAACATACTGCTGCTCATTCACTAGGACTATTTTTTTGTTTCATTTATCCATTGATTGATATTTTACTTCCTTCTTAATCTGCATCTCTCTACTTTCTTGCTATTTTCTTTTTGCTTAGTTCGCTTTTTGGATTAGCGATAGGCCTCATTGCACCCGCATACTGACATTGGACTCATGGAGTTGCACGAAGGCGTCCAATTCGAGAATGAAGCATTTGAGAGTGCTCCCACACTCCTAGGTAATAAGTAGGTACCAAGTACAGAGGGGAGCGCCTTCTGCGAACCCCAAAGCAGTCAAAGGGAGATTGTGTATTCTCATCTCCTGCGTGCGGACGCGCCTATGGATACCATGTTGAATGGACGCTTTGCTGATAGAAAGTGAGGAAAGTCTCCCTTAATTTGATAGTCGCCGATAACCAACCCCATCAAATCAGTGTCGTCGCAGAATCCAAGCCTCACCGGCCGGTCCACTTGTGCAAAACACGTGGAACGTGTTCCTACATCCGACAAGTGCTCGAGCCGTATTACCCACGGCCAGGGCGATTCGCTCCAATAAAACAGCAGGAGAATTTTTGGGGCATCCGACTAGTTGAACGTCCAGTCCAGTCACATTGAAAGGGGGTAGAAACTATCCTGTGCCTTGGGTCCCGTTTCTCGGGATTCCAGTATGTCAAGCACAGGCACCCCGAGAGCAGCTCATGCGAAGGAAATCCTGCGGAGGCAACGCAAACCAGACGTACCCTGATCTGATCATGGTTGACATTCAAAGTCACCACATAAATTTCGTGCTGGAAATAAAGACCGGCTGCGGCTTCGCACCTAAGAAAGGCTAGCACTGGCATGAATTCCTGACTGACAAATTTGGTACGTACCACAAGGACTTAACCGTACTGTGCTAATGAAGGACCGTATAGGCCAACTTGCCAAATACATGAATGTGTTTAACTGCCTGTATGGGGAATATATACCATACATGATTACACTTGGTTCATCAAGCGGGCCAAAAAAATACCACCTCGTCGCGTCGCAGCTAATAAGCTTGACCACAAGCAGCGACGCCGATAATATCTCGGTGAGAGAGGCTTTTTTTTGCTTATGATGGCGCAAGCAGCCAACGCTGGCGACTCATTTTACCCGGTCGTCTATGGGGCAGGCCTCGTAAGCTTGTTTAAGAATATAACACTCTTACCAGCTACTGATGTCTCACTACAGACGCAAAAGAGCCATCACGCCCGGCGGGCACTAGAGACCAATACAGGGCCGACAACTAAGTAAATGCACTTAGCATCCCTCTATACATGCGTTACAGAGCCCTAACTGGTATGTACCAGAAAGACCTAACCAAGATTCCGTGCCCATGTCTTGCTGATATAGGGCAAGTTTTCCAATAGATATATGGATGCCTTTCAGTGCCACTATGAAGTGTATAGTATATACACCACAACCTGGTTCATCAAGCGGGCCGACAAATATCACTTCATTGCGTCAAGCTTGACCATTAGCAGCGACGCCGAGAAGATCTCAGCCAGAGAGGCTTTCTTATTTATGATGAACAAAGCAGCCAATGACGATGACTCGTTCTATCCAGTCGTTTATGGATCACTCGAGCATAAAAACAAGTTGCTTTTCTGATGGATGCCAACTGCATCTCTATAACGAGTGTCGGCCATCGTGTGAGTCTAGTCACATGATTAAATTGTAGTTTTCAGACTTGTTTCCCACGTCTTCGGTAGTTTATTGAATGCAGCGTTGCAGTACTCAACTCTGCAAAATGGTGGCAATTCAGCTATCAGCTGACAGCAAAGCAGATCCGTAGTCTGCACTCCCAGAGCTCATTTACGAGGGATGGCGGACTCAGAAAGTCGGGGAATTACCCTACATATTCGACGAAAGGCAATTGAGAGAATGGTCGGATTTCAGGAAAAGTTCCGTGCCGAAGTGGACTCACCATGCGAGCTTCTAGAGGTGAGCATGCCTTCTGGTGAAGAGGGAAATTATGGTGTTTGCGAGATGGGCTTGCAGACGAGGTTTGGACAGAACGCCTGCCATATGGTTGGAACCCGGGGGAAGAAACTCAATCTAATTGGTAGTCACAGGACCCCCCTCCCCTCAGAGACCAAACAAGCGCAACTATACAACAATGAAACAAAAGGGAGATAGGAAGACCAAAAAACTTTACCCGACCTTATTATTACATCAAATCACATGCTATAAAGGCCGTAGCGGAGGTCAAGCCGGACTGGGCATTTAAGGCGTGCAAGAAGCAATCGTGCGACCAACTTCTAGCGTTCAAACTTGGTATGTCTTATCAAGTACTACGTAGGAGGGTTGTACTGATGTAATATTACCGTTTTCTACAGGCCAGCTTGCCAGGTATATGGACTCGTTCCAGTGCCACTATGGGGTGTACAGTATATACACCACCACCTGGTTATTGAAACGGGTGGATGATTACCATTTTGTTGTTTCGGATGGTATATCATCCCAGAACGCCCGAAGCTTCCCTGATGACCCTGTGACCATGAGAGAATGCCTGCTCTTCCTCTTGAAAAAGGCGGCAGACCATGAGGCATCCTACTACCCTAGGGTGTACGGCATAGACCTCAGGTCTAACAGAAGAAGGTAATGCATTGATTAGCGCTAATACTTTGCAACTGGAAGGAATCTCAGCAGATAAATTTAGCATTGAAATAGAATAATATCATATAGACAATCTACAACTATCCCTATACTAAGCAGTCAATGCATAAGCGCTGTAGCACGAACCACCCATACCTCGGCTGCATATGTAGACCGCAAGAGAGAAGAACCCAGGAGATTGTCCGGGCCATTTATAATAAACCGAAAAGCGATATCCAACAAACGCTCGAATCAGGGAGAGCCCCTAAATATCGAATGCTACGCTATCTCAGGCTGAAGAGGCAAGTGGCATTCGATTTATGATTGTGTCACCACACAGGATGCGCGGCGTACCCCGAGGATTGAGCTTGTCAAAGACCGTATAAATGAAACGTGCACCCCAGCTTTAAGCTGAAGAGATTCGAAAACATTCCGTCCGGCCAACTGCCAGAATCGAAAAATTGACGGTCGCCAGTTCGTTTGATCGTCAGGTACATGCATTTCAAAACAGCTCTTGAAGTTCTCGTTGGTTAACCCTTTCGATCACTAAGACGATCGAACACCAAACGACACGATGTCCGCCCCAACACTTCCGTCACGCGAGGAAGAAGTGAAGAAGACGGGTTATGCAAGGTTCTTCGAAAGCCAGACAGTATTCCTCACAGGCAGCACAGGCTCACTCGGGGGCTGTCTCTTATACAAACTGGCACTGCAACTCCCAACCCACAAAATCTTTGTTGTAATTCGCACATCTCCGCAAGTGGCCATCGAGAAATGGAAGAAGTTGATGCCACAACAAGCACAGACCATACTCAGTTCGGGGAAGGTTCACTTCGTGATTGGTGATATGAGAAAATCAGACTTTGGTATTAAGGAAGCAGATTTCAAACAACTGCAGCAAGAGGTCACACTTGTCATTCACGCCGCGGCAAACATCTCGTTCACCATGGATCTTAAAGACGCGGTTGAACAGAATTGTCTTCCTCCATTGGAACTAGGGAAGATTGCTTCACGATTCAGACGTCTCAAACTTTTTATCCAGATCTCGACAGCATATGGAAATAGCTTTCTTCCAGATGGTTATGTCGGGGAGAGACGGTACTCGATTTTTGAAGATCCGGAAGAAGAGTTGGCGCAAATCATGTCCTCCGGCACCTCTCCGAAAGAAGCACACTTCTCGTCAATGTATGCCCTCGCAAAACACCTCACGGAGTGGTTATTTCTGAAGAGATATCCGCTTCTACCTTTGCTTCTCGTGCGACCAACGATATTCGGAGCTGCCATGCGCGATCCATATCCACTCTATGGGCCTCCGAATTCAACCCCAATGCGAAAATTTGCTGAGTTCTTGGTGGCAGAACCTGGAACTCAGGTCTGGCATGCGGCCAAGGGGTATAAAAGCGGCATGAACACACTTGACGAGATTCCTGTAGACTTTGTCGCCAATAGTTGTCTTATGCACGCAGCAGCAAACACACAGGGAATTGTCCATCTCGGTTCGCAACTATACCACCCAATGACTTTCGACGACTTCCTGCGCCTCGTGGATAGCAATGCACCTCCGGGATTCCCTCTTCCCACTATTGTCTTCACAGAAGATTATAGTGTTCCACAACACTTCCTGGCCGAATTGGTGAAGGTGGCAAGTCGCAACTGGGTGTTTGACTGTGGCCGGTCATATTGGCTGAAACAGATGGGTGGTCCATTGAGTCTGGCTTCATGTAAACATGAGATGGAGAGTCTGAATGTGGCACGAGCAAAGGAAGTTTATGAGAATCATAAGCAAAGGGCAAAGCTCTAGAGGAAATATTCAAGACTGGGCTTTGCCTATGTTCAATTAGCTGACTATTGTACTTAACTCGCGACTATGCCATATAATAGTTTAATGTCCCACATGAAGGTTTTGTAGCATACCAAATTTGTCCCATGCGAATGCGTCATTTTAAACTCGCAGGATGGCGCATGACTCCGTCCAAATGCCAATGTCGTGCTTTCTTGTGTCGCACAAAGCCAATGACTCCACGTTGCCCACGTTAAACTGCACTTGGGGATTATGACAACTATCCTGAACGCGCGATCCTTATAATCGTGGGAGCATACTTAAAGACCCAATTTCTGTTTCGGCCACAGCTGCGCCCCTTCCCACTGGAAAACACCAGGATGCAACGTGACCAGCAACTCCGTAACCAGTGCCTTGCCCGAATTCCGAGCCCACCACATCTGCCCATCGAGTGTTCCAAGAAGAACTCCCCAATACATCAAGATCAACAAAGGAAATGGCTTGCGACGTCGTAAGCAACCGACAAAATCCTTATCGACCGCAGCAAGCCAAGTGAGAACAGACGCCGCATCCCGCGCATTGGCATGTCTCAAAAAGCACCGATGAAGAAGAGCGATGGCGTCGCGATTCATGCGATGTTGTTCTTGATCGACAGTAGCCATGGTATCGTCGTTTAGTGTGGCTAGCTTGTTTAGAGCAGCTTCCGTTTTGGGGTCCAATTCTGCGACAGACTCTTTCCAAAATTCGCGACGCGAGGTGAAGAGCTTCGTGTGTAGCCATGGCTTGCTAATCCAGACGATATTCTTGACGCCTTGCAGTAGCTCAAAAACGACAATGATGTTCTCCGTCATGTTCGAACTCTCATCTCTGGTCGCTGTGAGCCGTGGCAAGGCTATGCCAATGATTGTCGTGATAATCGAATGGGCGAACACAGCGTCACAATTAAAAGGGGTAATATGGTCCAGCGCCCGTTGGAAAGGAGCAAAGGCCATATTATGATATTCAAGCGCCGTGTCAATATACGACAAAGCCGCTGGCGATTCAATCGACGTAGCCGCATGCAAAGCAGCCACGGCCAGAATCCCGCTTAACAGAAAATCATGCTCCAACGCCTTCCGGGGCACCACCATTTGCCAGACATGGAAGTCAGACGGGTCATTACTAAGGCTCATAAAAGTTTCCGTCGAGAACTTATGCATCAGCTCCAAGCTTCGAAGACTGGAAGCACTGAACGGTCCGCCCGCTTCATTGATAGCTGGAAGATGTACAATTGGTGCCAGACCTACACTAGGTGTCTGGCTGCCGGCAGGACTTGCCGATGGCTCACGGGTCCTGGGAATCTTCAAGTAAGTGCATTCCAGTTGTCGCGATGTACAATTTGAGCACGGTGGACCTTTTTCGTCGCACTAGGAGACGTCAGACAAGTGAAACTCTATACAATGCACCGGATAGCGTATTATTGCTGTGCAAATACTCACCTTGACGCGCCTTTTCTTACACTGGTCACAGCCATTACGTGACTTGTTGTGGGCCTTTCGCGGACGCGTGCTCATATCTGTCTATCTCGAATAGGGACTCTCATAACCGTCTGAAACGAAAGCAGTGCTGAGCATCTGACTCGTCGTTTTCGTATAACGTCGGGAAAGAGCAAACTCGGCTACGGCGGACGATACCGCCTGTTGCGTGTGCACAATTTATGCACATAAAAGGCATTATTCTGCCAAGGCTCTAGTTAACAAGCGAGCCGCCCACCCAATATGTATAGTTAGTATTTAATGCATTTATTTCAACCAAAACGCCATAATTATTAAAAAGTAAGCTATCTAGATTTATTTGGGCATGCATATCTTTTATGTTCCATATCTCCACATCCACCACACTTCAGTAGCGCTCGTTGATGTGGCTATAAAAGCTGGTGAAGCTGGAAGTGTCACGGGCTCGGAATAGCAGATAATGATGAATCGACGTTCCTATCTAAACTATTGTAGCCATCGACGAGAATATCGAATCTGGGGAAGAAGAAGAAAAGGAAATCTATCTAGGCGATGAACGGTCTTTATACACATTTGTGTGGTGCGGCTTAAGCCCTTGTTTGCCCATATTGCTTGTATGGCATCGTTTGATATGTTGGCGCTGTTTGTCTGGCGTTGAGCCGTCACAGGAAGCATGTTCATGAGGGAGGGTTGTATGAGCTATTTGAACCTTAATTGGCTCTGATATTATAGTACGAGCCTCTTCAGCTGACAAGCTGCCTTCATGGGGTATCTGTCTTGTTGAATGCATGTTATTTTGCTTCTACTTCTCATTTGCAGCACATAGTTCTCCATTTTCTTTTGCTAAGGTTGTGGTGCTCTGTATTGCAAGTTGGCAGCCTTTGACAAGCTGATCCAATGCTTGTTTTGATGGGCTTGGTGGGCTTTTTGAGCGCATTTTAAGCATTGCTTTTATTGATGAAGCTTGCCGACGTGCTTCCTTCTCTGTAAAAGGTGTTTTTGGTGTGAAATTGCAGCTTGGATCACTACCCTGTCTCACTGGGGGTGTTGGCGTCCGAAACCGGATATTAAGATGTTGTCACGGCTCGATAACTAGTAGATAATAACGAAATAATATTCCTATCTAGACTAGGTAGTAGCCTGTCGACGAGAATATCGAATCTGGAGAGAAGAGGAAATCTATCTAGATAATGAAGGGGGTTTATAGGCGTCTGTTTGACATTACTAATGGCTTGTCTGGTGTTGGTGTCGTTTTTCTGTGTCAGTTGTTGACGCAGCGTTGAGCCGTTGTTGCGGCGTTGAGCCGTCACACATCCCAAAGCATTGATTGACTCAATTACAGTGGCCCATTCATGATTGCCAGGCTGTAAAAGGGGTTTCTGGCTGTCAGTTCCAGTTTTTGTGACCACTCTTGCAGTTGCAATCAAGCCCATTGCAGTCTCATCAAAGTTATAGATGTCCTCAGGGATGATGCCATACTGAAGAATTGCATTTTGAACACAATCAAACCATTTACGTATGACCATTTGATCCTCAAATTTTGCACATTCATAATTATAGTGTCTTGAGAACTTGGTTGTAAGCTGTGGATGCCATTTAACAAAATTTGAGATCTAGTTCTTGCCAACAGTCTGTATGAGTGTAGATCCACACTTCAAGAGTAGGAGATTTGCCATTTCTTGAACAGTTTCAGGCCGCGGTGCAATTTCATATCCATTGTACAAGCAACTCCTTCTCAGTTTGTGTCATTTTATGGTTGTTGGCGCGTGTTTCAGAGCGAAGTGTGTGGCCAGCAAGGCGGCAATGGAGAGTTGTATGAGGGACATCAAATTGGCGTGCTGCTTCATGAATAGCGCTGGCTTCTTGGTTTTTAATAGCTTGTATTGTTAATAAGATCCTACCCTCCTACTCTATTGAATTTCGAGAGCTTCGGGGCCGATTTGGTGGCATAATTGGTGGTTGAAAAAGGAAGTGTTCATAAAACTGACGCGTTTCGCGTTAGCCAGGCCGCTCGCTTGGGAATGACGTTAACTAGTTAGTTAACTAGTTAGGGCTACACCAAGTCAATTACGTACGGAGGCAGTAAGTACACCATCATCAAGGGCTAAAAAACTTCGCACAATCATCTTTTTTTTTTTTTTTTTTTTGCTGTTCCTTTTTCTCTCTCTAGCCCCATAGTTAACCGGCACGATGGCACGACTGACCGTTCGAAACTTCGCGGCCAGACTCCGTGAACTGCCATCCTCTGTCGAGGAACCAGAGCAGGATAATAGTGCTCCATACCTCGACGTTGGAAGTCGTTGGGAGCCATGCCATCACTTTTACAAGGCGGGGGTTCCGTACAAGGTGTGGACTGAGCAGGATGTCTTCCACTTCCACGGCCTGTATAAGTATCGTGACTGCTTCCCTGATCCGTACGCCTTCCAAAACTCGGATATCGCCATCCTGGTGAATGACTTGGAAGGGGCGGCAGCCATCTTGGAAGGGTCTGGATACTTCCGTACCCCCAAGTCGAGTGAGGCGCAGGAGAAGCTTGGTTATTCTGGTAACAGTCAGGGCAACCGAGAGTTTATCCGTTTGCTCAATGTCAGCGCCATGGTGCGACACCACAGCCAGTGGGACTCCTTTGAGGAGGTCACTAATAAGGTTGTCTATGCTGCTGGTCTTTCGGAGAATCCTCATTGGGGGCCAGCTCAGGTAGCCGGGAATGGTGTTCTGTTGATGCTAGCCAGCGACTGGAATTATATGCTCAACTCCAAGGCTGCATCTCCTTACTATCATGACCCGATCCCTGACTTGTCGGAGTACCTTGACTCTCACGTCAGCATGTGGATGGATACGCCGATTTCACCTCCGGTCAACTCGATTCGTTCCCCGGGCGATACTGCGAGACTACGCCATTGTGCCAGCGTCTTGAAGGAGCTAATCTGTGAGGCCAACGATACGTGGACTGTCGAATTTGAGGAAGATATCAGGAGCCAGCATCGTCAGGCATTGTTCGATCTCCTTGAGATGTGCTACCGATGGATGATGAAGGAAGGAGTCTGCATGTTCACCCGTCTGACGACCGATGTCGATTTCCAAAAGTACAGCAAAGACGTTCGTGACCATATCAAGGCCGGTGTCCACGATCCTGTCCTTATGGCCGATTTCAACCGGTGCCGGATGAAGGGTGTGGTCACCATGCCTCTTCCTAGAGGTCAGGCAAGCACTTACGACGAAAAGCAGTGCAAGAAGGATCTGCCAAGATTATCGTGGTTGGTTCGAGCGCCCCGGGGAGATGGATGGCTCTTGCTTTCCCTTAATGTGGCTCGCATCATAAGAAATAAGAGACGGGATAAGCAGGAGAAGCAGAAGAACATCGGCAAGCCTGATCACTTGCCATTGAGGCATCGGCGCTCAAAGAGGACAGAGGACGAGATTAAGACGTTGGAGTATTACCTCCAGGATATTTTGGCTGATACCTACAACTGGGCTTTCCAGAATCAGGAGTTTTGATTTACTGTCATGTCATTGGAGTTTAATTCGGAGTTAATTCACTTTCTCGCTCAATACTTATAATAATAATGAAGCTTCTTATTTTTTTGCAACTTCCACTGCTCGTTTGTTTTATTTCGTGCCAAATTGGCGTCGCGTATATTCTTGCTATCTATTTGTACCTCAAGTCTTGATTGCCACTACTGACATTAAATACCTGGCCCGCTTAAGCACTTTCGGCTCTCGCCAGCTCGCATTGTCTCCAATACAAAGTTCCTTGTCTTTTCACGAATCATCTTCTCCGTGTCGTATATCGTCTCGAACTAGCAAAACCGCAAACAAAGATTTATTCCGCCGTATAATCAGAATCCAAATCCAGATTATGTATAATGCCTAACCCAGGGGAGGTGGGCGCGGCGGCTCTCTGGTAAGACAATCAGAAATCGCTTTATTTTACCACGCCTCGAAACACCAGCTCCCAGTTGTATAGGGAAACCCTAATTGCATCACATGTGCACAAAACAGCGAGACAATACTATCAAAGTATCGTGCTGATTTAAATCAGACATTCCGGAATATATACTCTGGAATCCCTGTCATAGTTAGACATGGAATGGCGACGGTTTAAGGGGATGTGCCTGGCAGTGCAATGCTATTTGTACAGTGGAGACGTCTGGTTGGCCTTCGTTAATCCACTATGAAAGCACACGCAAAGGCATGATGTCGATTCGCTTGACACAAAGGATTTCTAGCAGCCCATTGCTGTATGCAGATCCTCTCAAATTTACGAGGATGATTTTCATGCTATGGCCGAAATGTCACCACATAGCAAACACTTAATGCACAAGTCTATATTGTGATAAGAACATTTGCATGGACCAAGCCTCTTCCTCCCAGGCTGCAATTCTTGGTGAGACCTGTCAGTAGACAATCACTTCCGAAAAAATAAGCGAGAACGAGCAGTGGAGAATTTTCTCGGAGTATCCATGGACCAACTCTCGATCCGCTTCCAGAACTTCAGCAGGGTCCCCGACTCGAAAAATGAGCTCTGTAGGGCTTTCAGCGATCTTTTAAAGCAATCTACTCCATACTCTGTACTATGGTACAGCTGGAGATAACTCCCACCTTAAAACCGCTTATCAAACATCGTCCCGTCACGTATGCGAGTCCCGACGTGAACACGAAAATCGGAGGCTCGGCAGTGGGGCGCAAGTACGATATACGGGAATATAAGATTAGGAACGATGGCGAGAACGAGAGCGAGAGCGAGAGCGAGAACGGGTCAATCCACCAATAACACCCACGAGAGCAGCGGTTTCAACCTCCCAGCCCACTCTGACACTCGGAGGTTTACTATTCTTGGTAATCGGACGGACAACGGCTCCTGTTTAAATATGCCAGGTTCCCTGCGGCCAAGAAGGGTCTGGAGAAATGTGATTCTTTCGTTCTTTCGCTCTGACCGTCCTACTATTTAATCGCTTCACGTCCCTCGTTCACGTTCGTTCCGGTTATCGTTATCCGCCATAAACATCGCCCACCATGTCGGGCTGTACCGAAGTCACACCCTTATGTCCCGTCGAGGCATCAACATACGGCTACTACCCCAATCTAGGCGGAAACATCTTCTTCGCCGTGTTTTTCGGCATCTGCGGAATCTTCCAGGTGCTTTTCGGCGTCTACTACCAAGCATGGGGTTTCGCGACAGCCCTAGTCATCGGCGCCTTCCTCGAAGTCGCAGGCTACATCGGTCGGGTCCTAATGCACTATAACCCGTGGTCGCCACCAGCTTTCAAGCTGCAGATCGTGTGTCTGATTCTTTCGCCTACGTTTATCGCTGCCGGGATTTACCTTACTATCAAGCATATCATCGCGTACCTGGGTCCGGAGCACTCGAAGCTCAAGCCGAAGCTGTTTACGTGGATATTCATTGGGTCAGATATTGGGTCGCTTCTTCTGCAGGCTGCGGGTGGTGGTGTCGCGGCTTCTGCGGGGAGTACGGATCAGACATTGCTTAAGACTGGAGATGATATTATGATTGCTGGTATCGCATTCCAGGTGGCTACGATGTCGGTTTGCGGTGTTCTTACGCTGGACTTCTTCCTCAGATTTCGGAAGAACGGCGGAGGTCTGTCGGTGGAGAAAGAGCAGGATGGATATATCTCGCCCCGGAATATGATGCTGGTCATTGGGGGTGAGGTATTTGCCTATGTCACCGTTTTGATCCGATGTATCTATCGGTATGTCACCATATCACCACTCCAACAGCGGCGCATCCACTAACATGTCATAGTCTCCCCGAAATGGCAGGCGGCTGGGGCAACCCACTGATGCAAAAAGAGAACGAGTTCCTCGTCCTTGACGGAATGTACGTATCCTCATCCTGCCATTTCAATATGCAAGACTAACTTGACCAGGATGATCGCACTGGCTGTACTCTCGTTTACCGTCCTCCACCCTGCTTTCTTCCTCAAGTCTATGCGGAAAGGAAGCGGGGGAAAACCGCGTGTGCCGTAACTTACGGCAGTACATACACCTCTCTCGTACATATGAAAACTCACCAATAATGATGATACCCGCATGTTTGGACAGCGTTAATACATATAGCTAGAGTATACAAAATACATGATGCAAGTTTCATTCTTTCATATCCAATCTCTGCTCACTGATCAGATTAAGTAATTCCATGAGGATGTTAAGGCCAGGTTCGATAAAGTGCCCGTACTCTAGCAGACTGTTCTGTTGCTTCGTCCTGAAAGTGAAAAAACATGTGCCCTCCAAGTCGACGTTTGCACGGATGGCAGGATGGCAGGATGGAAATTCTTTCTGAGATGGAGAGGGAGAAGCCGGCTGGGTATATCGTAATAAGAGATACGATGTCGGTCGAATGCCAACGGCATCATCACTTCAGACCAACATCAAAGCCCAGAGAACCGATCGATAAGCCCCGGAATTCCCACTAAAGACCCAAAGCCAAGAAGCTTTGGGAAATATAGAGATCACGTCCCCTTCTGATACCTCCCCACCAACCCCCCCTCACCCCCCCTCCAAGTCCTCCCCATCAAATGCCTCAAACACAACTCCCTCCCATCATCCGGATAATAAAGCCAAGTAGCCCATTTCCCCCACTCCCCATCCTTCATCTGCCCCCTCGCCCTCTGTCCAATCTTATCCTCAATAAACTCGCCCCTACGCATGGCCAAACGCGTAGGAAACACTCTTGACAGATAGTGCTCCGTAGACGCAAGATGCGGCTTATCGAACCAGAAGAATAGAGGCGTCAGGGGGACTTGCACATCTGGTTGCAATGACGATGAGAAGTCCTCTTTCAGTGTGGCTGTCAGGGTTCGGAGGGTGGGGTAGCTGTTCACGCAGTCTGAGACGGCGTAGCGGTGCATGCGGATTGATGGGAAGGATATGTATTTTATGGGTTTGGGTATGTTTTCGGTTGTAGAGGAGGAGGAGCGCATTACCTCTAGTAGTGGTTGGAGAGGGATGTTGGCTACCAGGGCCCAGTCGTGCTGTTGGACCCAGACGTAGGGTGTTTCGACAACACGTAGGGCAGAGCGGACAGCGAGGCCGAATCCCAGCCTTGCGAGTGGTTCAATGAATGTGACGTGCTTATCCCGCGTGTGGGTTATGGCCAGCTCAACGCTGTTGTTTTCATCATTCGGCGAGCCGAACTCCGCTGTAGCCGTGGCTTGTTGGAGATTATGTCCATCATTATCATTCACATACTCGCGGAGGACCAACGACTTCACATTATCCTTATAAGCACTGTAATTCCGCGCTACCTCCGGCGACGCAGATCCACTCTTCAAACGGTTCTGCGCAGCGATCCGGTCAAAAGTGTCAAATACCACGATCACCCGCGTCGCGGCCAGGTCAGGACAACGCAGCCGAAAAGATTCTATCACTGACGAGATTAGGTCAGTGGAGGGACTGGATGGTGTTGGCGATGTGGTGATTATCACCGTTAACAGGCCAGATATTGATTGCATAGTTGGAAGGGAAAGGTTGGAGACGCGAAAAAAAAAAAAAAAATTCATAATTGCCTTTTTGGGACTAGTGGGATATTCAATTATGTACATGGATTTTGACCTTCCTTCACTCTATATTTTTGCAAACAACAAATTCACGATGACACTTCAGATTCCTTCACACTCCTCCAAACACCACCACCACATTTCCACTGTACACCCAACCCAACTATCGCAACCAGCTGCACTGCAACACAAATGGTAAACGCCCCTCCAGCCCCAACACCATGCACCATGGGAAGAATAGCGCTGGTCTCAGCAGCCGCGAGACAACACCTTGCAAGATTAAGACTAGCCGCGGTAGCAGCGCTACGGTCATGAAATATATCAACGAGATACGTCGTGATGTTCGAATGTGTAGGCACAGTCGACCACCCTCCGAAGAAAGTCGCGACGATGGGCACGGCGATGTGGACCTGGTCTGGGTATTGCACCGTCCACCCAAAGAGCAATATGGACAGGCATTGCACGCTCGCGTAGACAGGGACTGGGCCGAACCGGGCCCTCTCAAGGGGGAAAATACGTGTATCGGACTCGTCGTTTTCGTATTTTTCCGGATGGGGTAGAAGTGATGTGAACTGTTTACATTCTTGGAAGGCGTGTACATCGGATTTCCTGGCCGAGAAACATGCAGAAAACTTTAATCATACATACCCAGGCGTAGATAATGCTGGCATTTTTAAGATGGATTTCCGGTTATCTGGGCTTTTTCTTATGCAAAGGTCACAAGATATCCTTCCTGAAGCAGTTACTTCTAACATATGCAGTTTACCATGAAACAGTAGATACATCAGATAATCTCCTATCTATTGCATTGTATTGCGCCAGCCACAACTCTGAATCAAATTACCTTCTACCCTGTATATCAAGATAAGACTCTGTATACCCTCTCTTGCATACGGATTCGTAAGCTTAATCTCAATGACGTTGTTAAGTACTCTGTACTTCACGATCTATCCTGGAACCAGCGCTCGTGACCACTTTCCAACTCTGCTTGCATTGCATTTGCCCCCTATTTTTATCATATCTGCACGGTACGGTAGGTAGGTACGCGATGCTAGGCAAGAGACGACGCACGAGCAACGGCCGAGATAAGCCGGTTGATTGTGTTAGCCTTCCTGACCCAATGGGGAAGTATGATCCCTTTCCTACGGTTAATCTTCCCGATAGACAATGGCCTGGTAAGACGCTGACTAAAGCACCGCGATGGCTGACGAGTGATCTGAGGGCTGGGAATCAGGCATTGCATATGGTGCGTTACCACTCCTCCTCTTCCTTCTCTCTTGGTAGTAGCTGACAGCTTACCAGCCCATGACCGAAGAGACCAAATGGACATATTTCCAAACCCTGCTTAAACTAGGCTACAAAGAAATCGAAATATCAAGCCCATCATTCTGACAAGCCGAATACGACTTCACCAGACGACTCATCGACACCGGGGCGGTCTTCGAGGATGTCTGGTTGCAGGTTCTGCTGCCGCGTCAGGGGATGGCGCTTTCCAGGACGATAGAGGCTGTTAAGGGTGCGAATAGGGTTATTCTGAATTTCCATCTTGCCACGCCACACTACTATCACCCCGCGGTGGATGTATCGCAGCCGGGCAGGAAGATTGTTGATTTCGCCGTGGGAACTACGCGTCTAATCCGCACATTCACCAAGGATTCCCAGAAGCCAGAAATCAACAAGACAAACTGGGCCCTCGAGCTCACAGTCGAAAACTTCCAAGACACAAACCTCCCCTTCACAATCACCATCTGCGAAGCCGTCAAAGCAACATGGCAACCCACCCCCTCGAACAAAATCATCTTCAACCTCCCCTCAACAGTCGAAAGAACCATGCCAAACATCTTCGCAGACCAAATCGAGCTATTCTGGGGAAGTATCACGGAGCGTGAGAAAGTCTGTGTCTCTGTACACACGCATAATGACCGAGTATGTACCGTTGCAGCAGCTAAAATGACACAGTTAGCTGGTGCGGATCGCGTTGAGGGATGTTTGTATGGGAACGGTGATCGCGCGGGGAGTGTGGATTTGGGTACTCTTGCGCTGAAGTTGTATAGCCAGGGTGTTCAGCCTGGTGTCAACTTGGGTAGTCTTGACGATGTTGTTGCTCAGGTTGAGGAGTTGATGCAGATTCCTGTTCATCGTCGGGCTCCGTATTCCGGTAGAAATGTTTCCAATAGCTATACGGAGACTCAACACGAGGCTATATACAAAGGATATCAATTCCTCGGACAAGATCAATCCCAGCCCCGGTCCAAGCACCAGGGCCAGGAACCGGAATGGAAAATCCCCTATATCCCCATGGACCCTACCGACATCGGCCGGCACGACGAACACATAATCCGCGTCAACCGGCACAGCAGCACAATCCACCACGTCAAACAAATCCTACACATCGACATGCCGCACAAAATGCAACACGAATTCATAAGTATCGTCAAAGACCACGCCACGAAGCGAGGCTTCGAAGTCCCACCAGATTCTATCCGACACCTTTTTCAAAAAGAAGTATATGAGTAACAGTTTTACGGACCTGCACGATTTGGGCTTTAAGCACGGTGTTACCGGGGATGGGAGGGTGGTGTTGGAGAAGATCTTGCTGGCTATAGAGCAGAAGTCTGGTGTTGATTTTTATTTTGAGTTGCTTTAGTTTGAGATGCAGGTAGTTCACGATACTAGATGGGTTAATGAGAGGCCGACTGCGTGTTTAATTAAGGGGGCTTCGCGGAGGAGTGAGAAGATTGCGTGGGGGGTTGGGATTCATTGAGATTCTGCGGAGGCTGTTTTGAAGGCTGTGAGTTTGCCTTTTTCTTGTTGTTGAAGTGGACGGGCTAATGTGTTGATAGGTGTTGAGTGTTGGGTATAAGTTGGATCCTGTCTTTCGCTATCCTTCTCCGGATTGGAGTAGTGATTGATAAGGTCTTGATGTATGAGAATGCTCGTGAATACCATGGGGTGTCTTTAGCTATATGAATAGATCCAATCAAGTCTGCTCTGAATATTCATGCTGCAAAGCTATAGGCTATACCATGCTCTATTCTATGTACTGCACCGCTGACGCATGCCACCGAAAAGGAAAAAAAAAAAAAAGAAAAGAAAAAAAGAAGAAAAAAACTTGATTAACTCCATACCGAAAACAACTCAAAACTCCAAACATATCAACAGACATAATGCATAATAACACGCAAATAGCAACCCATCTATCACCTTCAGCCCACCTCTCCTCCAGTATCCCCTCACCCAAACCTCACCACCCTTCACTCAATCCAAACACAGTATGCAAACACTTATTCCTCCCCCAAACTCTCCCTAACACACCTCCTCACCCTCCTCTTAAACTCCTTCGGATCCTCCCTCCACAACCGCGCGGCCTCCACATTCGCCGGACTCTCGTCGTTCGGAGACGACAGCATCGAAATCACAGACAACAGGATGGTTTCGGGCGTTTGCACGGGGGACCAACGCTCGGCGGCGGACTCGTAGCCGTATTTGTCTTCTTCGGGGGGATGTAGGATGGAGATGCAGACTTCGCCAGTTGGGTAGACTGGTTTTGTTAGTATTGAGATCAGGGATGGATATGGTGAGGGGAGGGGAGAGGGCGTACTGTTAGGATGGAAAAGAGGCGACTCGAATTTCATCTTCGGGGGCATGTGAGGGTATTCATGGGGGAAGGAGAGGAGTGCACGGAAGAAGCCTCCTATCGTTTAAATATAATCATTAGCGCCTCAGTCCAAAAACTCGTACACCAACGCAATCTGGATACAGGGGCAGGGATGCTTACCGCCATACCACTGCACATCATCTGAAATCATCAACATAACCTCCCACTCAAACACGTTATTATCCACCAGACCACAGCTTATCCCCGGGATATCTTTGCTGGACTGCATTTGCTGCAGTTGGCGCGAGAGCATGCGCCCTGCTGGTGTGGTGGCCATATTCTTTCGTTGGTTTTCCGGATGTAGGTGAAATGCAGGAACAAGAGAGGAAGACAAGTTAACCCAGGTTGTAAAGTAGAGAAGGTACAAGTAGAAGTACTTGTAGGTTGGAGAAGCGCTGTGGCCAGGCGGTGTGCGGAATGGCGTGCAGAGAGTGGGGAGTGGCGGGGTTAAGTTAAGGATGAGAAAGACCTTGCGGATGAAGTGGAACTGACAGCCCTACAGCAACAGAGGACTACTCGGACTAGAGACAGTCGACATTTAAAACCTCTACGGTACTCTGTACAGAGGATAGAATAAGCGCCGAGTTATACCCGCTATCCGGCGGTTGCCACTTGCCACAGTAAGCATCACTACAGTGTCAGGCTTAGTGTGATTGATAAACTCCATAATATTCAAATAAGAACAATTTGGCCAACAGTATCATATCCTAGATCATAACTGTTAGAGAAGAGTTACGCACTCCGAGAGTGAGCAATCAACTTCTGCATCGTCTCAACCCCCATCAGCGAAAACTGCGCCAACACCGCCAAAGTAAACGTAACAAACAAAGCACCCTCCATCATAAGCACCTTGCCAATCACCTTCAAATACCGAACTCTCGCCGGTCGGTCAAACGTCCTCCAAGCATCCATGATGCTCAACCGTCCACTACCACCAAGGATAGCAGGAACCACTTTTCCGCCGAACGAGCGGTCAAACGGCACGATAGCCTCGTCCTCCTCAGGAAGCATCGACGCCGCGACACGGACGAAGACGGCCTGGGCGGGGATCGAAACCAAGTACGAGAGGATAGATGGGATCATGGTCATCGCCCACATCTTGCAGAAAGCCTTGGTAGGCGGCGCGGTCGAGGACGCATCCTCCATAGCCGCATCCCAACCACCAAGCGCCTTAGCCATTAACAGCGGCAGGAAGAACGCAAGGCCCACCACGATATTCTCAAACGCCGCAACGGGCGCAATCTGCACCCAGCTCTTGAACCCGGGGATCCGCTGGTAAAACCGCTTGTTCGAAGGCTTCGAGACGACAATGTGCACCCATGCCATCTGCAGGTTGGCCAGCAGCACGGCAAGAACCGTCTGGATAGCAAACTGTCCAGAGAACTGGTCCGATCCGACTGGCAGGATCATAAACAGGGATCCCCGCGCGATGCCGTATGCCATGTACATGGCGAAACCGCGGAATCGGGACCAGCGGCCGGCACGGGCGCGGAGGTGGGCGATGGTTGTACGCAGCTTGCTGGTGATGGGCTTGGGGGCACCATCGACATCCCTTGCGATGGGGTCGATGCTGTCGGGCTTAGAAGGGTCGTAGTCGGCATCGAGACGGACGTAGAGGTCAGGGTTGGTATCTTCGACGGCAGCGAGAGTCGCAACGACGGATCCGTAGGAGTAGTCGACCTGGGTTGTCAGTACCATACACAACACACGAGGGACTACTTCATAAGACACATACCGACCACATCGCCAGCACAAAGGCCAGCGAAGTAAAAGCACACAAGGCCAACAGCCATGACGAGACCTGGATATCCGGCTGGTCGGGGTTCTTGGAGAAATGGTCCGAGGCCATCTCCACGCCCCGACGAACGAGGGAGTGAACGACCATGATGTAGTATTAGAATTCAATAGTAAACAGAGATGGATGAAGATAACTAGATGATGAAGGTGAGCAAATGGAGAGATGATGGGTAGAAGTACTACGTAGACGGAAGAGGGGGCGGTGTTTATTAAGGGAAACGCCTAACTCCGGATACGGGTAGCTGGCGCCTAGACTAGCGGCTCTACCTACATTAAGGGTCTTCTTTTACTCTTTTGGTCCTGTTGTTATGAGGCTTTGTTGACGTGGTCACATGACATCATTGATTTTATTTGGAAACTGCATATAACTCACCGTTGAGTACAGGTAGTCTGCCAGTGTCCAGTACAGGGTTAGTCCACTGTATTTTGTACAAATGACTCAAGGCGCAACCTCGTGTTGATCTTGATCGCCTGAAACACGGGTCTTCGCCTTTCCGAACTCCGAAGGCTGCAAGGCTGCAAGGCTGCAAGGCTACAAGGCTACAACAGCCATACATAGTAACACGGCTCACTAGCACATCAAGATATTCATAATATATATACAACAGGCACAAGTCTAGCATGAACAATGGGATATCCAGCTTGCCATAATCAATGCTCGCAAAGAAAAAAGAAAAACAGGTGTATATGCTGACAAAATCACAAACGCCGCGGCAACAGAAAGAAAAGACGGCGACTCAAATCATCTCGCTTTTATCGCTTCGCGTTTACTCGTCAAACATCTTCTTCATAAACTTGTGTGCGAGCTCAACACCGGCACTGCAGGTAATTAGCAGGTTGGTCAAGAAAAAGAGAGAGGGGGGGGGGGGGGTAAGGAGCCTTACAAAGTTGCAGCGTTGGCAGGTACGGCTCTAGCCAAAGCAGGTCCGAATCCAGGGAAGAAAGCCTTCAATCCACCGTTACCGTACACAGAGCGGACGATGCCTCCAATGGTCGGACGGCCCTCAGCACTCTGCATCCGCGACTTAATGGTATCAACAGGGAACACAGGAATCCACATGGCGATACCGGCGGCACCACCGGCAGCCAACACAGCCGGCATGGACAGTTCTCCCGTGACATTACCCCGCTCATCCTTCGGGGTCAGGCTGCGCTTGATGTATTCGTAGGCGGCAAAGTACGCGGCGGATCCGGGGCCGTCACGTGCCAGGGTCATGGCGCTACCACGGAAGACACTGCGCATACCACCCTCCTTGTACAATTGTTTAACGACGTCCAATCCGCCCGAGTATTTGGGCTTCTGGCCGGGCGGGGGAGGGTTCTGGCCCTGGATCTGGAGGAGAACCTTGACACGCTCGAAGGGGGCGGTGATCAAGGTCATGGGGATGGCGGAGAAGAAACCGGCGGCGGAGATCTGATTGATGGTGTATTGGGGAGTCTTGTTCTCGACGCGCACCTCTGAAAGGCTGCTAACGATTGTTTTACCCAAGTCATAACCCCAGAAGCTAACAGCAACTGCACCAGCACCACATTAGCCAGATTCGCATCCACAACCGGAAACTGACTTACACATAGGAGTAACACCAACAAGCGGTGCCGAAACACCAGCATACAATCCCTAATCAACGTTAACCATCGCTGCCCTCACACACCCTAACCAATTGACATACCCTAACAAGACCCTCTCTCGCAACCGTCTTCCTAACAACATCCATCGCACTCGCGTACACACCCCTCTGCGCCGTCTGCAACCGCACCTTCACCAAGTCGAACGGGTGACCGACAACGACCGCACAAACACCACCGGCACCACCGGCAGCGAAGGACCGGAGCTGAGCGACGGTCTTGTTGACAGGCTTGGTCTCAGCGACCTGCACATCTTCCTGGATTTTGTTTGTCGGGGTAGTCGAGGTGGAAGTCATTGTGGTGGTCGGAAGTGGGGAGGAGGGGTTCTAGAAGGGAGTGTAGAGTGAAGAGGAGGAGAGGATAGAAGAATTGAAGCAGAAGAGGTGAAATATAAGGAGAAGAAGAGAATCCACCAGGTGAAGAAGACGCTAGGTATATTAAAACAGCCCACCAGGACGCAACAGACACACCAGAGAAATAGCTTAATCGCTCGGAGATGCAACAACGGACCTCGGCTCGGTACGGACGGAGATAGTAATGTTCCGTCGGGTATTTTCAGTGTTTCCAGTTAAAAGAGGATCTCATACAAAAAGAAATGGTACTAGTATTCTGACTATGTAGGTACCCTGTACTTGTAATGTGACCACCATCCCATGGTCAAGTGCCGGATGAACGGGGACGACTGACCCCTCCCCCGACCTGCCACTGTTCCGGGGATCTCCAAACTACCAGAACTCCAGATTAAGGTGGAATCTCCGGGCGAGAGGAGCGGAGGATTGGAAATCATTGCATCTTTCTTATCTGCCCCTCCATCGTCACTGCTAAAATACACGGAGAACTGGAGTTGATATCACGTGTCCCTCTTTTCACATGTTAGTGTGCATTTGGTCAAATGATCTATGCAGTGGGGGCAAGTGCTGGACTAGCGTATATAGTGGACTGCAAGTTGTACTTGTACTTCGAGATTCAAGTCATGATTTTCGGTTTAACTCCGGCGACAAATGGGACGTCTTGCAGATATCCGTCGTGATGCCCAGGTTGAGGTTGGTTTCCCTACGTATCTTGTCCATAGTCCATCAAAATATCAGACCCGACTGTCCAGTTCTGATTGTATTCAGTTCCTGATCAAAGCGTTTCCGAGGACGGTTATAGCCACAAATATCTTATGATGCGCACCATTTAGGAGGGCCCGGCACGCGCTGTCCATCCCATCCACTCTCTTTCAAAGAGAAGAATCGCGTTTCCCGTTTAAATTTGGGATTTGGGTATGTTCCATTCGAACATTTCCAACTACAGCGGCAAAACGATTGTCCCGGAATTGGATTTCCACTCGGCCAGAGAACGATTTCCTCGCCGGGTCACCAAACATCACGGGAGGAAGCATTTCGCCTCCACGACAATGAGATTGGCACTCTTTTAATCAATGCATGTTTTGCCAGAGAACATGTGCAGATGAGTTGATCACAAGACTATCTTCCAATATCACAGCTCTAATCTGTAGCAGTGACCTGCATTTAATCAGTGCCATCGAACCGTCATAGTTTCAGTGACGGTTTAATATGACCTCCTGTTGTAACAGGCCAGGACTCTTGACTCCGCCTCTGAACTCCCCGCCAAGCGTCCCAGTAATGCTTACCCGCGCGGATGCTGAACATCTCCTCAAAATCTTGAAGGGTCGAGTCCCGGACTGCCAGCGACGTACCGTGCGGGAGGGGGGTAGAGACTTTTGTCCATGGGCTCTGTAGTCATGCCGACATGGTGCGTATCTAAAAATCCCACTGCCCTTCCATAAGGCACTATAAAGGTAATAAATCCTGCCCCGTGTAAGCCCATCAAGTTCTGCGAAAGCCTTTGGTGTCAATTGATCAACCGCCGCATGTAGCAGCTCTCTTGAATGTGACTCAGAAGAACCCGGAATCCCCTAAGCCAGTCGCTTCCCTGGAATTTAGTGTATGATCAGATGGAAACATTCCCATTGGCAGAATATGGTAGTTGTTGTTCGTCTGGGCGCACGTTGATTACTTTGCCAAGGTCCGGGGGGCATTTTTGCAGTCGCTGTTTTACCCAGCATTGAGCCTTGTTCTCTGTATCGCCAATGCATAGCTTAGGTAGCCACGGATACGACAAGGTTTCTCATCGTTGCTGAGCGTGAGGAAAGTTATGCCATCCGGCATATCCGGGAATAAGTTTTCCGGGGGGGGGGGGAGGGGGAATCGGGCTATATTAGCTTCTTAAGAGTAGAATAATTCTCCAAGGTGTGGTCAAGACTTCTCTAATTGTTGTGGGCCTGCTTTTGGCATACCTTCTCTCGTTTGGTGTTTATGTATAGAGATATACGCCAATGGTACCCTTCGAATATCCTGTGAACGGGTTGTTCATGAAAGAGGTGTGTCCCATCTTTTCGCATTGGGGAACGAAACGCAAGGCTTATTCACCGTGAATATTTCTTGATAGGTGCAATTGAACTAACGGTATAATATGACAATATTCTTGCATCGGTGGATGCATCTTGGGCAGGTTTCATGGGTATGTCATCCTGTGGCCATTTAAAAGATATATTCTCACGCAAACGGCATGAGAGCAGACCGATCATAAGAAAGACGAACGATAGTCTTCCAAAAACAGCGAATTGACCAGATAGAGCAAGTACAACGCACACTTCAGTAGAATTTGTTGATAACGGGGATTTATTTCGTATATCACGATATCTGCCTGTAAGCTAGGAAGGAAATTGTTATATAGAGAAAAACGAGGACTAAACCTCTCGAGCGAAATCAGAATCCCTTGGATATCGTAAATGATAGAAAAGACGAAAAGCCTCCTCTACCCTCCGGAAAATTATCCTTGTCAATCCTGACGTACGTAGTGCATTCACCAGCCTCGATGCCTGCTCCTGCACTGCGCTGCATATAAGCTGCATAGCTCAGCCGTTGGTGCACACGAACTCGTACTCGGGGTACGTACGCAACAGCGCATTGAAGTATATCTTGCATATCACAAGTAAAAATAGTACAATCCTGATCCTGATGCAATGGCATCGCATCAAGGCATCGCTATGTATGGAGTACGGAATAACAGGCAGAATACTGGAAGATAAAACGAACGAATATTATTTACTAGTAATAAGTCATAACCAATGACCGTGCGTATCCAGACGGTCAAGTAAATGTACAATTCACACCCAGCGACGTACAGACATCGTAACCCGTGAATATTGAAAACATTAAGAAAAAAAAGTTTTTACCAAATACGAAGATTGGTGAGGTATCCTATCCGCGACTCGCTTAGAGAGCGAAGAGGGCGGCGACACCGGCAACACCCATGGCGCCGGAGCCGAGGACCATGCGGGGAGCAGCGTTCTCGGTGTTCTCAGCACCGCCAGCGGACGAGCTGGAGGAGGCGCCGTCAGAGCCGGAGCCAGAGCCAGAGTCCGAGTCCGAGTCAGAGTCCGAGTCCGAAGAGCCGGTCTCAGAGGAAGAAGCACCGGTACCAGTGCTGGTGGCAGTGCTCAGGGTAGAAGAAGCGTTGGAGCCAGAGGCAGGAGACTATAATCGTCAGTAAGAATTCACGGGCGCATATGTAGGAGATAAACATACCGACTCAGCACCGGAAGAGGTGGCAGAAGCAGAGTTGCTGGCAGCAGAGCCGGTGGAAGAGGCACCAGCAGCGTCAGAGCCGGTAGCAGAGCCAGAAGCGTCAGAGCCAGTGGCCGCACCAGAGTCGGAACCGGTGGCAGAGGCGTTGTTGCCGGAAGCAGTGTTGGATGAGTCGCCAGAGGCGCCAGTGGAAGCAGCACCAGCACCAGCACCACCGTCAGTAGCGGTACCGGTCGAGTCGCTGTCGGAGCCAGAGGCGGTGGCAGAGCCAGAGCCAGAGCCAGAGCCAGAGCCAGCGCTGGAGCTAGAGCTAGAGTCACCGTTGGCCTTTTGACCAGACGTGGCTAGAGGAGGTTAGCTTTGTATATATAAAAGGTCAATTGCAGAAGATGAACATACTGTCAGAAGGGCAGGTGGAGAGAGCGATCTGGACAACCTTGGCAGAGTCGTCATCAGGGCAGGCCTGAGAAGTGCAGTCACGGACACCGAAAGAGTAGTTCTCAGCGTCGCAGAGACAGTGCTGGTCACCAGACTTGCAGCCCAAGTCCTCAGCCTTCTTGTTCATGTTGTCGATACACATGCGAGCGCACTTGGACTCGGACACGGCGCCGACGAGGCCGGCGGAGGCCATGATAGCGAGGGTAAGAGAGAACTTCATTGTGATAGTAGTGTATGGGAGGTGAATTAGAGATTAACTGGAGTCCAGGTATGAAGTATAATAAGAAACAAAGACAATGGCTGAGATGGATGAGAGAAAAAGAGAAAGGGGGGGGAAAAAAAAAAAAAGAAGACGGGGAGGACAGTTAAAAAGCAGTTCCTGGGCGGGCCACCTCATTTCCCGTGATGACGGTCGGCCGAGCTGGATCGATCGGCGCGACTGGCCACTAGTTTGTTTACTGTGTTACTCCATACGCTGCTACAAGATATGTGCGTGTAGTAATGATGTTGTTATGATACAGGGCAATGCAGGAGTACTTGTATCAGCTGGATTTCTTCACCCTTAATACAAGTACATAGCATTCATAGAATACTAAAAGTACATAGAGAGTACTACAGAATATGTACTATGTACTACTCCCTTTGTTCAGATTTTGCCCTATGGAGTCGCCCGTGCGATCAGCTCCTTTGCACCTCTTCGGGAATGGCGCCGTCACCGCATATGTGGCTGCCTTCAAAACTATCCAATAAAAGATAAAACACCAGCCACATTGAAGGAAGCTTTACCCGAAGTGGAGACAATATGCACTCGCCACCGCCCAGACCGACGCTATTAGGCCGAGATCCATGGATGAGATCATCTTCATTATTGCCCTGTCGGATATCTGATAAATACAAACAGGTTATGGTCAATTATGTATGGGGCTATAAATGAGTAAAAGCCTGTTTCATAGTTACTAAAGATGTACGAGTAAAAGTACAGCAACAAGCACCATGTGCCGTGTACAAGTACTGTACTTGTACAGCACAATGTACAACTGCCCAAACTCAGACCTGAACTCAATATGGAAGTCTATGCGATTCTGTGGCTGCGCACCGCCACACCCCGGCATTGGTCCGAGGAGATTTGTGTCTTCGCCGATGTGCAATGTGGCCAATGACCTGCGTCCAAGTCAAGCTCACACTAGTATTTGGAATCGATCAATAGTCTGTGATAACACTATCACACTCCGTTTATCATGAATGTGATTGCACTCCAGTTCTCGGGTTGGTAGCTGTAACTGTGCTACAGTGTACATTGAAATGAACTGTACTCCGTTCTTTGTACGGAGTAGCTACCTTAATTACACGAACCCCTGGACTCAAGATTTTGAACCTGTTTCCACGGTTAGTATCAGGGCCAGCCCAGATAAACCAATCCCACGATTACCTGGCTTGGCGATCGGGGTTAGATAATCTCGGATAAAAGGATCGTCTGCTGTCCCGCTCTCTCGACGGGGTCTCCGATGTTAAATTTCAATGAAGGACGTGCGGCGCGATTTATTCATTGTCCACATACAGAGTACCATCTGTGCGGTCTACACTATGTTTGTGGCCGGAGCTTGGTCCAGAACTTTGTTAGCCAGGATGCTCCGACTTGATGGTCCGACACGTGAATGATTATGGCATGGTCATTGACTGCGTACTCTTTTAACGTCAATTTTTCATTCATAGCTTGTGTGGAGCAAGCTGTTGCACTGTGGGTGTATGGATGGGGTAGTACTATCTGGCATCATTAAAGATCACCATGGAACAGTCTCAAGAGTGCTAATTTACTTGTTTAATTACCAAGACGGACTACTTCAAATATATATCATATATATATATATTATAGAGTTGATCTGTCGCTGGCATTGAACACTGTGCGCGTTCCGATATATATTCAGCCTTACAGCTAACTAGCATACCACCACCGTAGTCGATGTTCAGTCCAGTATTAGGACATTCTGATTCTTTAATAAAACTGATATAATTGACCAGCGATATACATCTAAGATATCAACAGCTCCACGGTCCCGGGTTTATCGTGTCTAGCACTTGCCACAGGGTGGCTCGCCCCTATCATTGATGTACAGGGCAGATGGGCACAGTTTCGAAGTGAACAAGCCTGATAATTCCAGATCGGGAAATGGTATAGCATGGGTCCGCTTCAGCCACGGTGGACCTGATCGAACTAGATCAATCAGATCAATGTCAGACTACCTATACTACAGGTACTTACCATGTACCCATGTACAGTAGTATACTACTACAGAGGATACTAGTACTTGTACTACTACTTGTACTTGTAGGAGTACGGTACCTTTGCTCTGGCTACTATCATGTGACAATCAGGGATCAGCTGACCGCTTCGTAGTTCGTCCAAAGTACGCGACCATATTTGAACTGTACAGATATCCAGATCCCCGACTATAACCGCCAGCAGGAAAAAAAAAAAAAAAAAAAAAAAAGTCGATCTAGCAGATCAATTGCTAGCATACCCAATATAGCTCCCGCATTCCGATCCGATACGGTATCAGAGCTTCCTGCCGGTCCACCATGACCTCTAAACCGCTATCAAACACAAACCATCGGGCTCAGGCCTATCGCCAGTAGAGTTTCTTTCAGTTTGCAGGTACAAGGATCCGGTCCTTTGTGAGGTACTTTTTCTTGTACATTCACTTAAAGCTGGATTCCGGTCTTCTTTGTCCCTTGCCTCCTTATCTTTCACCTGCTACAGAGTACTTCTACTCGAGTTCTCCTTACTTCGTTCTCGATATATTCACTTCTCAGACCAGTTCCTAGCGATTTCGTTTCGAAATGTCTGGTACCATGACCCTGAATTTGCAGGCTTATGATCCCAAGCAGGATGCTGCTCCCAGCCACGGAGGCCAGCCTCTGACCTCCTCCTTGCGATCTTCGATATGCCAGTTGCGAGATCTGCTGAAGGAACAGAAAGACATCACTCTCGATGGAGAGTCGTTAGACCTGAGCTCGACTGTTGCTGTGGCACGGTATGTTTCCCCCACCCTTCTATGGGCTACGCTGACTCTCCAGGTTTGGTTACAATGCATCTATCTCGAACAATGGCTACGCCGCTCAGCGCATGAACACGAGCGTCGATCAGTTGGATCAGAAGTTACAGAGCAATGAGATGGTCTACGGCGTTACAACTGGCTACGGAGGAAGCGCAGACACCCGTACCGACAGCTATGTAGATTTACAACGAGCCCTCATTCAGCATCAAAGCGCAGCTATCCTGCTGCCCAGTGATAGAGGTCTTTCCCAGTCTTCGTCTTTCGTGGACAGCTTGAAAAGCCATGCCATTCCCGTGCCCATTGTCCGTGCTGCCATGTTGACACGCTGCAATTCCCTCCTACGCGGTCATTCCGCTGTTCGTCCCGACGTGGTACGACACCTTCTGACCCTCCTGGAGAAAGACATGACGCCTGTCGTTCCGCTGCGTGGCAGTATCTCAGCATGCGGTGACTTGATGCCGCTGTCGTACGTGGCTGGTGCACTAGAAGGAAACCCGGATATCTCAGTCAACTGCGGCAAGGATCAGGGCTACCGCGTTCTCCCAGCTGACCAGGCACTGGCGCTGGCCGGACTGAAGCCTCTCGAGCTGCAGGCCAAGGAGGGTCTGGGGATTCTGAACGGAACGGCCTTTAGCGCTGGTGCTGCCAGTTTAGTTCTCTTCGAGGCCAACCAACTTATCCTGCTCTCCCAGGTCCTCACGGCCATGGGCACGGAAGCCTTGCTTGGAAAGCGCGGGAACTACGATCCATTCATCGCTACCGCACGTCCCCATCCCGGCCAGAAAGAAGTGGCCGCCAACATTTTCAACTTCCTTTCCGACTCCAAGCTCGTGTCAGAGGCAGACCCTGGGAAGATTGGCACGGCGCAGGATTCCCACGTTTTAGCGCAAGACCGTTATGCGCTGCGCACATCGTCGCAGTGGATCGGCCCTCAGCTCGAAGACTTGGCCCTGGCGTTGAAGCAAGTGGAGGTTGAACTGAACTCGACCACTGACAACCCGCTGATCGACCCTGACAGCGCAGAGGTGCATCACGGTGGCAACTTCCAGGCCGCGTCGGTGACATCCGCGATGGAGAAGACGATGGGCGCGATGCAGATGATCGGAAAGATGGTGTTTTCGCAGTGTACGGAGATGATCAACCCCGCGTTGAACAAGGGGTTGACGCCTAACCTTTGCGTGGACGATCCGAGTCTGTCGTATACCATGAAGGGCGTGGATATCAACATGGCGGGGTACATGTCGGAGCTGGCCTACCTTGCCCACCCGGTTAGCAATTACGTCCAGTCGGCAGAGATGCACAACCAGGGATTAAACTCGCTGGCCTTGATTGCTGCGCGGTATACAGGCGATGCAGTGGAGGTGCTCTCCATAATGTCCGCCGCGTATTTGTACGTGTTGTGTCAGGCACTGGACCTCCGGGCCCTGCACCTCGAATTCGTCAAGCAGGCCCACCAGGAAATCAAACGCGTAACCAAAGACCTCTGCGGAGCGTCAATCAGCCAGCTCGTCGATGGATCGCTCTGGGAGGAGATCATGGGACACTGGGGCCGTACTAGCACCCGGAACCTCGCAGATCGGGCCGACGTGGCCGCCACGACGTCGATGGGCTTGTTGTTGTCGCTTATCAGCAAACACGGGACCGCCGATGTCCACCCTGACCACGCTGATCTGAATGATGTGGCCAAGGCGCTGAAGTGGAAGGAGTTGGTTTCCGCTGTCTTGACAGAGACATACAACAGTGTTCGCGAGTCTTTTCTCCGCGAGCGAACCACGGAGCAATACCTGTGCCATACGTCGAAGTCTATGTACAGCTTCGTCCGGGAGACACTGGCCGTCCCGATCCACCGGGGTATTATCGACCACGCTACCAAAGAATCCGCAGACGGACGTAGTCGAACAGACAAGCCACTGATCGGATCGCACATCAGCAAAATCTACACAGCATTGCGAGCGGGTGAACTACAAGACGCCCTTTTGCATTGTTTCGAGTAATGTCCACATACATAGACCCAGACGGTCATTGTCATTGTCATGTCGCTATAGTCAGATAGACCAAATAATATCAAATCAACTATCCTTCTTAATCTTATACCGCGACACCCGCGATCCATCACTCAATCCGACCTCTGTCAATTCAAGCCTGTACCCAAATACCCACGGGAATACCACGAATCGGAGAGCATAGTATATCACGCCCAGAGCGAGTATACTCAACGCGACGACCGGCGACAACCAATACGGTAGACTCGTACTCCCCTTCCCACCATCCGGTGGGACGAAGGGCATGATTAGAACGAACTGCACACGCACATTAGCACCCTCCTCACCAAATCAACCAAACCCAGACAAAAAACAAAAAAAAAAAAAAAAAAAAAAAAAAAAAAAAAAAACTCACAAGATTCGCAGCAAGATAAAACCCCAACACCACCCACGGAACCCTAAACCCCCCCTCCTCATTCCACCTCTCCTTTTTATCCAACCTCAACTTAATAAGCCCGATCCCAACAAGCGTCAACAGAAAAACACCGGGGTACGTCGTAAGATTCACCACGAAATCAAACGCGTCGCCCGCGGGAGGCGCACAGATGAATAACACTGTTACGCCGAAGTGGATGAGTAGGCCCCAGATGGGTGTTTTGAAGGGGCGGTTTTGCATGAAGAGCGTTGGGAAGGGGGTTATGCCGTCTTTGGCGAGTTCTTGGATTACGCGTGCTTTTTTTACTTGTTAGTATCAGGTGGATTTTGGGCGGAGGGGAGGGGGGAACGTACGGACTGTAAACGCTATACCAAGTAAATGGCCAATAGCTGAAATGGCGATTAGTGCAGGAAGAGCCTTTGTACCTGCAGATTCACCATAGACGTTTTTGAACAACGAGGCTGCGATGGTGAGGTCTGAGGAGAGGAATTCTTCTCTTGAAACGCCGGCGAACTATACCAATTAGCTTATCTAAATTCAAAATAGAGCAATCTGGATACAGAGGGGACGTACGTAGGCGATATTAGCCAGCAGATAGAGAACTGTAATACTACCCATAGCAGTTGGTAGAGCAATGCGGAGGGAGCGGTTTGGGTTTTTGACTTCTGACAGTACCTGTCACCATCAACCAGCAATTAGTACTTCTGCAATGCGCAATCTATATGCAGGGGCAGAGGACGAACCATATTCAAATTATCATACCCCCCAAACGAAAAAACCGCATCCAAAAGCGCAGTCCCGATATTATACCCACTACTCGACGTGCCCTTAAATGAAGTAGCCACATCCAGATTCCCCGTTCTAGGAATACGAAGATGTCCGCCCAGTGCAGCAAAACCAGTGCACACAATAAAGGCCAGAATGAACAGCTTGACTGCGCTGAGGAGGTCTTGTAACCACCGTCCGACGCGTGGTGTGACGGTGTGAATACCCACTGCGAATGCTGTAGCTGCGATGGCTAGACCGCGGAGATTCCAAGTCGTTGATTCTGTGCCTGCGGCTTGGAGGAGGTAACTTGCTGATGTTATGGCGTTGCTTGCGGAGACCTCTTTTCATCATTAACCCTGTCCCTACCACATCCTGGGGGGCGGGGGGCCTCTCACGAAGAAAAACACAGTAAAACAAATACACACAAGTCCAAAGCAACGTTGGCGAAAACGACCGCTCCAGATATATCTTAATCCCACCGGAGCGCGGAATACCAGAGCCGAATTCTAACATCACCATTGAGCCACATGTTGCTATGGTACCGGCGATGACCCAGAGGATAAGGGCCATCCCCGGGCTACCGGCGAGTTTGAAGATTGAGGTTGGTGTTGAGAAGATACTATCGCTGTCAGTTTTTGATAAAGAGATATAGAAAGGGGCAGGGGGTACCCAGCGCCGACAATTTTATTAACAATCAACGAAGTCGCACCAAAAACACCAATCTGTCTGTCTTGGAGGATATATCGCTCCGAGACCTGCGAAGTTGAGCTCGTTTCCGCGTTCGATCCATTTTCCTCCGAACCGGTGTACGGCGCTATTCGTGGTCAGCTATGTCCAAAAATAAGGTTCTAGGCTATCTCACTAATAACCGGTTCCTGAGATTTCGCCATGGTGAATTATTTCTACCATCGGAGACGTTGAGATACATATAAATAGTGAACTTGGACGTTGTTATCTGGCTAGTTGAATCGCAATTGTGTGCCGCCGATGGTGTGATACAGATGCAAATTCGTGCATGCAGGGATTGGATTGAACATTCAGCTGGACTTGTCTTTCGCACAGATAAAGCAAGTCGTGCTTTGCGGGGCTTATGTGGTAATTGAATTAATATGTTTGGTTGGATGGTGGGTATTTAAGGTGTCTTTCGACGTCTCAATCTATGTTTACTGTCTTTGTAAATCAATTGATTTTAAGTTACAAGTTAACTGCACGAACATGTCCGCTACAGAAACCATTACTCGGCCTGTCCAGCCGGACATCCAGTATCATCCCGAGTACGAAAAGTACAAAGCGCGTTCTCTTCGTCGCAAGGAAACGGAAACCTTACCAACTACTCTGCCGGATGGGTTTCCACTGGAATTGAAATCCCCGCTAGTCTGGGAGGGAAAGGATGTCGAGAAACGGGATGATTGGCTTTACCATCTGAGTGAGGCTGAGTTAGATGAGATTGATGCTGCGCTGCAGCATTTTAAATGTATGTTCCTGACTCTACGTGGCTGAATAGTGGTTAAACTGGCAGCCCTCAACCTCCCCCTCGGCCACATCAACGCATCCACCTTCCCCCTCCCAACCCTCCACCCCACCTTGCGAAGCCTATCCAAAGACATCCACGCCGGCCGCGGCTTCATCGTCCTCCGCGGCCTGCGCATCGACGCGCACACCCGCCAAGACAACATAATAACCTACACCGGTGTATCCTCACACATCGGGAGCATCCGCGGCCGCCAGCAAGACACGCGTCTGGCCAACGGGACGTCCCCCGTAATCTCACATATCAAAGACCTCACCACCACCGCTGACAAAGGCAAGATCGGGGCTCCGTCGAACACGCCTGATAAGCAGGTGTTTCATACGGATGCGGGGGATATCATCTCGCTTTTGTGTTTGCAGACGGCTGCCGAGGGGGGTGAGAGTTATTTGGCTAGTAGTTGGTTGGTGTATAATATTTTGGCCAGGGAGCGGCCGGATTTGGTGAGGACGTTGGCGGGGGAGTGGCCGCTTGATGGGTAGGTCCCTCTGGAAAAACTAGTGGTTTGGGGGAACTAACATGTCTAGATTTGGAAATCCGGATAGACCGTATACGCTTCGGCCACTGCTGTACCACCAGCCTGCTACAGAGGCTACTCCGGAGCGTGTGCTGATTCAGTACGCACGACGGTACTTTACCGGTTTCCTAGCGCAGCCTCGATCAAAGGATATCCCGCCTATCAGCGAAGCGCAGGCCGAAGCACTCGACACGCTGCACTTTCTAGCAGAAGAGCATAAAGCTTCCCTTGGCTTCCAGAAAGGTGACATCCAATACGTCAATAACCTCAGTATTTTCCATGCGCGGAATGGATTCACGGATGGGCCGGGACAGGAGTACGTTTCACACCCCTTATCTTGAACGGTTGCTAACCAGGTACTGAAGGCGCCATCTATTGCGACTCTGGCTGCGCGACCCCGAAAACGCATGGGAAACACCAAAACAGCTAGAGCCCCGGTGGAATACAGTCTTCGGGGATGTGACCGTGGAAGAGCAGGCGTTTCCTCTGGAGCCGGCTTTGCGGAGGAATGTTGGGTCTTAGCTCTTAGGTGCTTTTCTCGGAGAATTGCGATAAGCACGTAGTACAGAATATAAATTGTTGCCGATGGGTTATCTTGTGCAATGTTAGAGTATGTACTCCGTAAGCAGTGATCGAGGTCTTAACTAGTTACTGTACTCCGTTGGGTAAATGCCGAGGTTGAACTAAAGGGGAGTCCCCGATTGACCCCTCATCTTATCAATCGCGCAATTGTCATCTATCCTCATTCAAGTTTACACCCCTTTATTTTGTACTCTGTACTCTGCATTTTGTACACCACACTACCCTGTTAGAGCAAAATGGCCGACTACACCAAAGAATCCCTCCATGCCCTGGGTACTCCCGACCCAGAACTCTCCGAGGTACGGCACCCGCATCCACGGTAGCCAATATAGCTAACCCCTGGCTGGATAGATCCTCAAAAAAGCTCCCACGCCGAACCCCGACTTAACCCTCGCCCAGCGACGCGAGGAAGCACACTTGCGAGAAAATTACCGCTACAATAATAGCCCGACATTCGACACGACAGAGTCTGTGGTGAATATTCCAATGCGCGATGGGTATTCCAGCGAGACGCGTGTTTTCAAGCCCGCTCACCCCGCTGAGAACGGAACGCCGTTAGTCGCGTTGATTTTTGGTGGAGGATTTATCAATGGCTCGAATATCCAGCTTGTCGCTATCGCACGGGCAATTGCTAAGCTGTACGGCGCAACGACAGTGACGCTCTCGTATCGTCTTGCGCCGGAATACAAATTCCCGACTGCCCCTTATGATATCTGGGATAGCGTATCGTGGCTAGCAGAAAATGCATCAAGCCAAATCGGAAACGTGGATCTGGCAAAAGGTTTCGTGGTCGGTGGTGTATCCGCCGGCGGCAACCTCGCCATTGTGACGGCGCACAAGGCTCTAAAGCAGAAACTTGCCGCACCAATCACTGGTGTCTGGGCTTGTATCCCAGTTGGGCTCAGTGACTCCACCGTTCCCGAGCAATACAAGGACCTCTGGACATCGCGCGTGCAAAATGCAAACGCGCCTTTTCTGAACACGCAAGCCATCGAGATTATCAGTCAACTGTACCAACCTATCGAGACCTCGGAGGACTACACGCCTTTTCCGGATCCGGCGGATCTCTCCTCCCTCTCGAGCATCCCCCGCACGCACGTCCAAGTTGCCGGGCTAGACCCCCTCCGTGACGACGGATTGATCTACGAAAAAGCGCTAAGGCATCACGGCGTCGAGACGAAGTTGGATGTGTATCCTGGTGTTCCGCATGCGCATTTCTCGGCGTTGCCGGGGTTAAAGGCGTCGTATCAGAGTAGGAGGGATACGTTGGTTGGAATTGGGTGGTTGTTGAGGAGGGAGGTGGATATCAAGGCTATGGAGGGTGTTGAGGAGGCGTGGGAGCCGGCGTTGCTTGGGACTGTTAGCTGAGTGTACATAGATTTATGCCTGGAGTACCCTGGTACCCTGACAGTCCTATCTAATCTGATACCGGTACACACTGGAAAAATGACGTAGGGCTCCGCCGCATCGGGAAGTGGAACCGCAAAAATTTCAAGCCCCAATTATTTCCAGCACCAAAAAGAAAGAAAGCAAAAAGATTGACCGACGCAGGGGTCGAACCTGCAATCTCTTGATTCGTAGTCAAGCGCCTTACCATTGGGCCAGCCGGCCTTATTGATGTGTTCTAGTCTCAATTGACTATATAATCCGGTATCACTCCAGGTGTATACCATACACAGTATGGTCTTGAATTCAGGTTTAAAAAAAAAAAAAAAGAAATAGTAAAGAATGTCACTACTCATACATCTCCAAAAGCCCCTGCTTCTCCGAAACAAAGCCCTCTTCTATATCCGCCGCGGATACAGCAGAACCAACCTGCTTCTTACCCCGAACATGGAAATAAATCGAAGCCCCGATCCGTCCAACCAGGAATCCAATCACGCATGCCACAAAACCAGCCATAATTCCCAGCAACGCTGGCATAATGATCGGCCGGACAAGACGCAGGAAATGATGGTTAGAGCTACTATGCTGCGAGGGGTAATGAGTGAATTGGTAAAACGAGAGGATCTGGAAATGCGAGTCGTTGTCTGACGGGATTTTTGGTGTGGTGGAGTCGAGATCCTGCTCTGACTCTGTTGAGTGACGGTGTCCGTCGATGATAAGGAGTTTGTCCGAGGAGTTTGATTCCCCGTGTAAGCGGCTCTTGACTGCTTCCTTTATGGTGACCATGTATCCCCCGACTTGCGTCCTCCAGTATTTCAGCTTCCAGCGCTGGGTGTGGTGCACTGCTGGCTCCACCCTTATACTAGAGAGAAGTAGTTTCTCCTCTGCGTTGCGGACGAGCGTCAGACTGACTAGATCCGTGGTAGCTGGTCGACCTTGGTTATCGAGTAGATTCATAGTAAACCGGTATAACTTCCCCTGCGCACGGGGAGGAACTCGTTGCGTATGCAGGGCGTAGGTTAAACGGACATCTTCGGTTTCCTTGCTTGTTTTCGAGGACCAGTGGCGGGTAGCCGGGAGCTGCATATCCGTGGAGGTAGATGGGAAGATGGGAATGTCGTTGGCGACGAGGGTGCCATTTGTCATTGTGAAGTCGAGGGTCTGTCGCATTACATTAGTCTCTGTCTTGGTTCGAGGGAGATGGGGGAGGCATACCAAGTATGCATTTGGCTTTCTATCCTGCGAACAGGTAGTATCTGCGAACGCGCATGGCGCACATGGTAGCCGGATTTGATTGATGTCTGACCGATGCGCAAAAGTATCATTCCGGGGTTGTGTGGCTAGCGCGGTGCATGCGCCGAGGTAGATTATGGATAGGAAGCGTAGTAACATGATTTATATCAACGAGGGACTGAATATGTCAAAAGAGCGACTGTAGTGGCAAGGAGAGAGAATGAAGAATGGGAATGAAGAACGAGGAAATGAACGGAGAAGAGGAGGTCTTGCAACAGTGGAGGAAGTTGACGCGTTGGAGCGGCTCTGTGAATGGATGGCTATGTCGATCCTGTATACATGCATTTGTATGTGGATGCTGATTGTTCCTTTTATACGGTCTCCCCTCTCTTACTCTACTTTCCTCTCCCCTTTCTGCCTGTCTCTATCTTTAGATTCCTATATTCTTCTATCCATGCTGTATATGATGTTGCTGTATACTCTGAATTGACGTTGAAATGTGCCGCCTTGGAATCTTGATGCCTGCACATCAAGCCCCCATAATTATTCAACCCGAGTCTAGAGCTGTTTCAGTGGCATTGCAGTATTTCCTCATGTCTCTTTCATGTCTTTTCTATTCTATTTTCTGTCATGGCCATCAGAATATCCTGAATATTTCCCGCGATGAGAAATGCCGAGCCAATATGGCGTCATCGAGGGTCTCTACCTAAAGGGGAAATATCGGAGATATCTGACATTGTATTATTATTATTTAATCAAGTTTATTGTCCATACCGAGCTCTAGAGCTATGACAGACCGTGATTCATGGACTCGGGACCAGCAGCTATTCTACAGTCTCTTGTCCCTATGAGTTCCTGAGGCAATCGGGCCCCCCTTCTATAATTTTTCTGATCCTTTCCCTCGCCCCAGACCGCCTGTATGCGCAGGGCTTTCGAGCAGAGTGCTCTCCTTGTGTTTCGGAGCAGGGTGGGTGTGGCCTAATCTGAATCTCAGCTTAGGCTACCCTCCCTGCTACCCTCTTAGGCCACTACATTTTCATCTGAGGCTTCTTATGTTTTTCCTTTCGGTCGCGGCCTCTCCTATCGAATACAGTCGCGCCAACACCGAATACACCAATGGAGGAGTTACGAAAACTGCTCGAAACCTCCTCGAGGGGGCCAGAAGGCGAGATTCTTGCTGGTAGTGTCCCTATGCCACTCAAACTTTTTATGCCAGGAACTGGAAAATCCACTCAGTTGGGTGCAAGGGCTCACCTGGATCTGACCTAGTATGTCGTTCAAGGGGGATCCTCCCAATCTTCACTATCGTCTATCATCATTGTAGGCAGTTCATTTGAGGTGATGAGAGTTGCCCAGGTAGAGCACAAGCCGCTAGAAGAAAAGCAGAATGAGCGCTTCAGGTCTTGGAATGGACATGGCGAAGAGATTTACCTCATTTTGGTTGACAAGGTACAATACAGGTGTATTGGCCTTAATACCTTCGGTAATAAAGGTGTTCATACCAGGCTCGTTATCGACCCAAAGCTGCTGCGATAAGCTGCCCTCGTCTTCGTGGACGAGATATACGCCTTCTCCATCCTCAGATGGGGCGGTAGCAGCAGCATGCAGATTGCGGGCGAGGATTTGGATAGGGGAGCTCATGATCGGATAGGGGATATGGGGAAGAAGAGGAAGAGTAAAGGTTATTCAAGGGTGGTTTGATGCTATACAAGCTACAATTCAGCAGTATGGCATCCTCAATGAAGATATCTACAACTTTGATGAAACTGGCTTTGCAATGGCCTCACATCTACTGCAAGAGTGATTACTTGATCAGAGTACTATGGCCGGCGTTCAGTACTACAACCAGGGAATCATGAGTGGGTGACTGGTGGAATCAATTGGTGCAAGTGGGTGGGTGCTTCCACCAGTCATAATCTTCAAAGGGAAGCAATATCAACAAGCTTGGTTTGAAGAGCTCCCTAGGGATTGGCGGTTTGAAGTTAGCCTAAATGGATGGAGTATGGACTACAGATGAAATTGGCCTTCGATGGCTAGAAAAAACCTTTATTCCAGCCACAAACAGTCATACAAAAGGCAAATATCGACTTCTAATCCTTGTCCCTTGATGGCCATGGTAGTCATTTGACCCCCAAATTCGACCAAATCTGTATGCCACCACATTCATCACATCTTTTACAGCCTCTTGATATTGGTTGTTTTTCACCACTTAAAAACGCGTACAGTACCATGGTTGATCAAAAGCAGCAGCTTGGTTTTAACCACATTGATAAGCCTGATTTCCTTATGGCATATCCACCCGCGCGTGTAGAGGCATTCAAATCAGTCACAATTCAAAATAGCTTTGCAGCGGCTGGTTTAGTACCACTTAATGCCAATCGGGTGATATCAAAGCTTGATATTCGGCTTCATACACCTACCCCCCTGGGAAGCCGCCCTACCAGTCGATCAAGCATCTTTAGCCCCAAAACACCTGCAAATGTCAAAGAGCTATTGAAGCAAGCCTCATTAATCAAATAGTTCCTAAAACAGCGCTCAAACAGCCCCCCAGCACCCTCAAAAACTGCGCTAAATCAGCTTATTAAAGGCTGCTAAATCGCGATGCATCAAGGCATATTGTCACGGGCTCGGAATAGAAGATAATAACGAACTGAATTCCTATCTAGACTATTGTAGCCATCAACGAGAATATCGAATCTGGGGAAGAAGAAGAAAAGGAAATCTATCTAGGCGATGAACGGTCTCTATACACATTTGTGTGGTGCGGCTTAAGCCCTTGTTTGCCCATATTGCTTGTATGGCATCGTTTGATATGTTGGCGCTGTTTGTCTGCCGTTGAGCCGTTGAGCCGTCACACATATTATCTGAGCAAGAAAACAAGCAATTACGCGCTGAAAATGAGAAAATAAAGAAAAAAAGAGCTCGTACGCAGAGACGAGTAGCTCATGAGGGGGGTGTATCAGTGGGAGAGGCTCAGGAGCTATTTCAGCTGGTTGAGCAGC